TTCATTAGCTGGTGTGCGACTGAGTCCAACCATGGTGGCTTCGCTTTGGTACCCTTCTTTACCGAAAGAGGGATGTGGGGGTGGGATATGTTAAAGAGGAAAGACTTAAACGTATCCCAAGCCGTCTGTATATCATCATCCGGCAAGATGATGCATGGGAAACTTACTGCCTTGGCTCTAATAGACGGAAAGTCGGCGTGCCAAATGTTCGGAGTCGGGACCCTGCGTGAATCGTAGTCTCTAATGAGAGCACAAGTGAATGACAAACACGTATGGTCACTGGCTCCCAAAGGGGGGCCGTACTCAAGGTCACTCACAAAGTCAACCGACTTTGCGAAAACTAGGTCCAACAGAGAAGGAGCATGACCCACCATGTACCTGGTGGGTCGATCGACAAATTGGTGTAAGGGTACTTCTAGTGTCAAATCAACAAGCTCGGCAGCCAACCCTGTTGTCGCTGCCTCATAAGATAGGTCATGCCAATTTACTTCAGGGAAGTTGAAGTCCCCCATTATCAAGCATCTGTTCGCAGAGTGAGTGCGGATGAAGTCAATGAAACTCCTAGAAGCGCTATCAGGGCTCCTATACAGCAGCACAATTTTAAATTGCGTTGATTCGGTACAGACTTCAACTGAAAGAGCTTCCACAGTTTTATCAGCTGAGTTAAAGGTATGTGTTTTGGATATGTTTACACCACATCTGATATACAAGGCGACACCACCGCCACGGCGATCAGATGGGCGGTCAGATCTCAGTATTGCGTAGCCCGGAACGTATAATTCACTGTCCATGACGTCAGAAGACAACCAGGTCTCAGTGAACGCGAGTACATCAGGATGGGAGTGGTCTATTAGGGCCCCTACTTCACACATCTTGTTTCGCAAGCTACGCACATTACTGAGAACTATGTGAAAACGTTTGGTATGGAGAGCCCCGGGTCGTGTGCTACCAGAATGGGCTCTGGTAGGGCGGAAGTGGACCGTCGGCTCACCACCCGAAAACCCACCAAACATAAACCTTTCTCGCCAGCTTCGCGACGCGCTTTAAGGTTTTTGATGGCTTCCTTAAGCTTTATCCTATCTGCCAAAGGTAGATCCGGCTGTATACTCACTCCGGAACCCTTTAGTTTAAAGGCGAAGCGCAAAAGAGCTTGGCGCTCCTCCGGTGTAGATAGTACCACGCGTAGTAGACGGGGTCTACATTTAGTACTATCACCCGATATGTTTCCAAGCCTAGTAAGTTTTCTAACAGTAACCCCAGGAAACCCGGGTGGAAGTAGTTTAGAAACGCAAAGTTTGAACCAATGAAGGTCGTCAAGCATGCGATCTTTCGGAAGAGTCGCAGAGGACTCCGAGATATTCCTGAAGATAACGCTGCTGTCCGTAAATGCATCACTACGACGAGGGGTGTTTACGGCACGCGTCACCGTAGCAGTGGCCGGCGCAGCGCTTGAGTTCATATCCTCCTTAGTAGGAACAGCAGGTGCACAGGAGAAGGATTTCGGCAATGAGGTGGAAGGGTTTTCTGCCTTCGTTTCCGGGGACGGAGTATCGACAGAGCCCACCGTTACATCTCTTAGCTTGGGTTTGGTTGTACTGATGGATTTCTTTATCTTGCGCCGCTTTGCCTTCGCAGATACACTGGTCTGTACAACTTCCCCACTCACAACTGAGTTCAATATAACGTCAGGATGTTTACCATCTTCAGGCAGCGCCTCAAGAGTTGGTGAATCCTTCGAAGCCTTACTATTTATGCAATCGTCTGAACGCACGCTTGTTCTGAGAAGGCCTGCACGTTCAAGGCTTACGACGATTTGATCAACCTTCCCCTCTAAAGAACTAAACAAAGATAGAAGGGTACCCACTCTATTCACCAGAGTTTCAAATTCGTCATTTGGGACTAGACGATATGCTTTGTGCCCCACACAACCAGGGCAATTATAAGGCAAATTATCGCTGTTTTGTAGGAGGATATACTGCTGTCTATCCAACCCAGTGCAAGCCTCATGGAACCAAGAACTGCAGAGGTCACATTGCATGCCTCCAGAAGAACCAGTAACTGGTTCTGAGCAACTCGCTTTACCACAAACAGCTGACGAATCGGTTAATGGGTCCGAGGGCGACTTGGAACTGGATATCTTTACCATAACGAAAGATGAAAAACTTTAACAGATAATAGGAACGTGAACCGGGGTACGGTAGGCTACAATGCAGACAACGTAAGCAGCAATCAGATAGAACCCGGAGTGATTCGTTTGCCCAGATTTGGACTCACCAGAACAAGAAAATTAGCAACGAAGACCAAAACAGGCTTTTCTGTAGAATACCCTCCAAAAGCTGTTCTCCGATGGAGCTGGGAGAGACTGCAGGAGCAAGGGATTGATCAGCTTCGCGCGGTCGAATATCAACCCGATTTGTACTCGATCGATGAGATATCGACAAAGGCCGGAATCTTTTGCGTTGAAGTCTTCAAACAGAGGCCAATATTTCGAGGAGAAAACCACGAACAGTAGGTAAACAATGTAAGATCCTCAAACGCTGGTACACTGGCAGTTTATGCTCAGAGTTATTCAACACTGTTTCCACAAAAGGCTTCCGAGAAGGAAAACTCAAGCGGAGAAACACGACAACCACGTCGTGACAAAGGAAGGCACACAATAGATTCCGAGTATGTTGGCACTTCCAAGTACTTTCAGAGTACAAGAAAACTGACAAAGCCAAATTTTCTATGTAGAGATATTCAACTACTGTTATCAAACAAGGACTTCAGTAAAGAAAATCTCGAGCGGTGAAACACGACAAGCACGCCGGAAGCGAATGCGAATGGCGGAACAGACGGACAGCGTTGCTCGCAACTTACTGAACCGCTCTTCAAGACCTATGCTGAGCACAAGGGTTTGCTATGGTTTCGTTGATATCGCATCGATGCTGCTGCGTTGTCAAGACGTCCTTCACATCAACCTCCTGAAAGACGTTCTTCTGCTCCTTCTGCTAGGCATGCCAAGAAGCGGAGCAACACATCTTCCAGCGACGCTCCAAAAGTCGCGGTCACTCCCGCCTCGTCTACTTCTCATTCGGACCCATTGATACACATCCAGCCTGTTGAGCCTACGATGAAGTCATATGCGGACGTAGTGAAGGAGAAAGCGACCTTGTCCTCGTGTGGTCAAGGTCCAGCCACATTGTCACCAAAACTGTCTTTGAATAAACCTGAGCTTCCATCTTCTCAGCCACAAATGAAAATAATTCTCAACGAAATCTCTGATCTGGAAAATTGATAAAGGAAAATCCATCATCTCGTAAGCAACCAATTCCAGAGCGCATTCAGCCATCTCGTGACCGCTGTCTCATCATCGTGAACGCGGCGGAATCGGACAAGGCTACCTCGGCGGAGCCAATGTTGGATGATCAAATACTGCTCGAGCGAATGAGTTCTCTACTGTTTGATGCAGGTGTACAGGGAATAAACATTGTCTCTGCCTTCCGTCTCGATAAGAAGCAGGAAAATTCCTCCAATGTTCGACCCCTCAAGATTGTATGCTGAAATGAAGAAGAGTGCGCGCGCATCCTTCGACGGACTCCACGTCTCAAAGGCGAACCTTTCTACGTGTTACGGGACCTCTCTCTCGAGGACCGAATTAAAATGAAGAAGGCTGTAGAGGAGCTCTGAACGCGCCGGGCGAGTGGTGAAACCGACCTACATATCGTGGATTGTTGCGTAGTTCGGAAGAGCACAAGAGTGCGCTGGAGGCCGATTCTTGTCACCCCCAGACAGTAAAGCATACAAACGGACTACGCGTGCTATCTGCCAACGTACGCAGTCTAAGGAATAAACTGGACGAAATTCTGTTGCTTACTTCGGAGACTCGTCCAGACCTGATGGCCTTCACCGAAACCTGGCTATTCTCAGATATCACGGACTCGGAAGTGTCTATCCCTGGATATCACCACTCCCGGTCTGATCGCCACGGGGTGAGGTCAGGTGGTGGAGTAATTCTCTACTGGAAGACAGATTTCAAAGTAAATCTAGTTGAAGCTATCAGTGACCAAGATGACAATTTCGTAGCCCTCTGGTGCTGTGTTCATGACGGATGCAGATCTCTCTTGGTCGGCGTCGTCTACAGAGCGCCATCGGGTCCCGGAGCGCGCTTGTTGGGCTCGATAAGGATGTATGGTGGGCACAAAGACTGTCTAATTTTGGGAGACTTCAATGCACCGGATATCGATTGGGATCTACTTCTTTGTGATCGCCATTCTGACTGCTTCGACGCCACATTGCTTAAAACCGCTCTCGATTGCAGTCTCGTTCAACATGTCTTGACGCCTACTCGTATTCTCCCAGACCAGACCCCGCACATCCTAGATCCCGTGCTCTCCCCGGCAGATTCGGATGTCACGAACCTAATCGTTCTTCAGCCCATAGGCAAGAGCGATCATTGTGTTGTTTCATTCCACTGGACTCGCCGTCTCACGATCCATAGCCACGGTGGTCACCGTCGGAATTTTTGGCGTGCCGACCCACTCCGTCTGAAAACGGCCGCAAGCGCTATGGATTGGGGTATCCCTGAACACATTCAACTCGACGACGCGTGGAATCTTGTACTCTCCAAAATGACGTCGTTAACTGAGCATGTCGTTCCTTCCTCCCATCGAAAGCCCTTCGCTAGAGGTCCACCTTGGATTGATCGAGAGTTGAGGTCAAACATGAATAGAAGGCGCAACTTATGGGACCGCTATAGGCAATCTCATTCAGCACTCGACTTCTCTCACTACAAGGCAGTCAGAAATGTCTGTGTCGCAATGAAGCGCCAGAAATGCCAACAATAAGAACTATCCTTGGCAAAACATTCCAGAATCGCGCCTAAAATGCTCTACTCTTATTTGAAAAGAAGCACTAGAGCTAGTAATGGCATCCCTGCTTTGTGTTCCTGGGATCATGAAGATTTACTTCACGAGGACACTTATAAAGCTAGTCACTTGGCTAAGCAATACGCTTCTGTTTACGCGATAGAAACACCATTTAGTGACAGAGCCGTATCCACTTTTCCATCTTCGTTGGCCCAAGTAGATATTAACACTGATTCTGTGATGCAACTTCTTCTTCAGTTAGATCCTTATAGCTCACCCGGCCCTGATGGATTGCATCCTTTGTTCGTCAGGACTGTGGCGGAGTACGTAGCTTCACTCATATGTCAAGTCTTTTGTCGCTCACTAGAAGCTGGCCGTCTTCCTTCAGCTTGGAAGTGGGTATCGTCAAACCCATTTACAAAGGAGGAAGTCGACATGATCCGGCCAATTATCGTCCAATCTATTTGACGTCAATAGTGTGTAAATTTATGGAGCGGATCCTAAAACAAGCTGTTACTCTTCATCTTGGGGGACAGAATGTCATTTCTTATGCCCAGCATGGGTTCAGAAAAGCACACTCCTGTACCTCGAACTTGCTCGTTGCTAAGGAGACCTGGGCAAGGACGCTAGACTCCGGCAAAAACTTGGACGTTGTGTTTGTTGACTTCAGCAAAGCTTTTGACAAAGTCCCGCACGAAGGGCTCCTGTTTAAGCTCCAAGGAATCGGTATTTCTGGGAGCCTCCTGTCTTGGATCTCCGACTTCCTAAACGACCGCTCTATGCAAGTGACGGTGAATGACACATTTTCTGCTCCTGTGCTCATGACGAGCGGGGTCCCACAGGGCTCTGTCCTCGGTCCCGCACTTTTCACTATCTTCATCAACGACTTACCATCCATACTTCAGACGGATTGCCTAATCTACGCTGACGACCTAAAGCTATGGATGGAAGTATCCAGCCTTGAAGACGCCGACCGATTACAAACTACGCTCGATCTACTCCATGACTGGTCGATTAACTGGCAGTTGTGTAGTGCCCTGACGAATGCTACACAAGAAATCCGTAGCACAATAAGACAGAAGACGGCGGGATATAAAGATTGTCTTGAGAAAACAGCACAGTACAATAGCTATGTAAATATAGCCTGAGGACAGTGGGAGAAAGTGGTGGAGCAACGAGTTACACCACGTTGGAGCGCAACAGCCGGCAACGTGCGGGCAAGATGGCGGACCAGGTTCAAAAATGCAGTCCGGCATATATAGGCTTTGGAGGAGTGCAAAGTAAAACAAAATGTGTACAAGTCTGATGGCGATGCTTGATGGAGTAAAATGTCATTGTCACTACACAGGCCTCCCCCTAGGAGGCCGAGGGACGAGGACTTCGATCGATGTTGGCTTGCAGATATAAGAAAGGCAGAATTATAAGAGTACGTTAGTATTTAGATTATTTATTCTTCTTGTGGTTTAAGATGTATCATCAGTGAGGCGTCCCAGCGGGCACACTGCACTACAAAATACTGGCTAATTCAGAAAAAGGGTCGGTAGGACATTTCACCGCTGCTGAAAGACGGTGCGCTTGTGAGAGTTCACTCCTCCCACCACATTTCAATCCACTGCCAAAACGAAGCTGTAATCCTGTTCGTACCGCCGAGCCGTGGGGGACCAAAAACAACGAACCAAGCACACGAGCAGCCGAAGCCAGGAAGGCGAGCCGGACAAACGACCTGAGCGAGCCAAAATGAGCCAAACAGACCACGATCCAGAGGCCAACGTGGGCGGGCGAGACGATCAAGCGTTAGGGGTAGACCAAAGCATCCAAACGACCAAAACAATTGAGAAACAGCCAACCGTTGGACGGACAGATCCAAACGTGCAAGCCTCATGACGTTACCTGATAGCTGGGGAAAAAACTCAGGGAGACAGATTCAGGTATTTACTCTGCTAACGGAAAAGCATAATGCAAACGACGAGAGAAAATGAAAAAGATTCATGAGGTGTGGAACCAAACGGTGCGTTTTCGTTGCGCATTGTCCCGCAGTACTTTGAACTGTATATCACCGCGTTCTAGTTCCGTTTGTGTTACACTAAAGTAACACATATCAACTGTTACATCCTTTTTGCTGTTTTTGGACCTTTGTCCAAGCCGCTTTCCCAAAGTCGTCTGTTAGCGTCGCGTGTTCAACGTTTTACCCCACCTTTTTACTCGATTTTTTTACTGCTTATTCGTATCATGATGAAAAAACGGTTGTCACCCGTACCTGCCAAAAAGATAACATTGGAACAAGCCGCCCATGACCTCAGCGAGGCTGGCCCTTCTCAAAAACGAGATTGCAAAGTAGTGCTCGTAGATCCACTAGCAGAAGCTCTGCAAAAGGTATGTGTCCTCGAAAGTCAGGTAAGATCGCTGAAAGAAGAGTTTACATCTCTTGCGATGTTACTAAACAAAGTACTGCCTTTGGCCAATCTGGACAACGTCCAAACTATGGCTAGCCAACCTGATATGCTAGCTTCAGGTGAACTATTGAATAGCATTACGCACGAGGTCAGTGAACGCATTCGTCGTGTTAATAACGCGGTCGTATTCAATGTACCTGACAAAATACCGCTTAAAAAAGTGCTGCGTACCCTTCTCAATGATTGTAGCCTACCACAGGATTGCTGTTCAGCCACTCGCCTACGCAAGATCTTCGGCCGATCTTGCCCAATAGTCATGAAATTTGGCAACCCCGAGCTGGCTAAACGATTCCTTGACGCTCGATATATACTGAATCAGCACTCGAATCTTGGGCGAATTCTGATAAAACCGGACAGAACCCCGCTGCAAAGATCTACTTTGCCTACTAGTTTAGTATCTCAGAACAAAGAAACCCATGTGAAATCCTTCACAGAATCCCAACTCACAAGTGCGCAAGGGAATCCGACCCACACGGCCTCGTTCTCGACCCCGTGTGACGTGGACCTGGATTCCTCACAGCGGCTAACATGCCGCGATGCAGAAAAGTCCTCAAAAGACAAAAATCAGCCAAAATGTATTGTTGCCAAGTCCGTAACATCAGTTGAAAACTCGACTGTTGTCGTAGACACGACCGAATACAGTACACAGGCTGTTGATATGTCTGACTTGCGCGACACAGACTCTGAACTTGGGGGTGTGGGCTTTCTCTCAGTATATACTCCATTAGCCAGCGTTGTCGGTGACCACACGCAACCCACTATTGACACAAAGCTAGCGACCAACAGCTCTAAGCAACGGTGCTCCATAGCTCTCCCCCATAGTCTCCCATCGAATCCATTTCTGTACAACAAAAGGGCTATACCCAGACCTTCCGGTAAAGCTAAAGTATACTCATTACCAGCTACAGAAATACCACGTCACCAGTTGGCTCGCCAGCATACAACTGGACTTCCAATTACCAATTTTGAACCGAAGACCATTGCCAAGCAACCACAGTCTCATCGTCGTGACTACCTCCCCAATACCCCAAACTCGGTAAACCACTTCCAAATTCGCAACACACCCCGTTACACTACGGACCGCGTAAAACCAATACCCCCGCAACTACAACCGGCGACTATTACACCTACTGCTCCGGCTTATCAAGCATTACCTGGGAATGTTGCTCCGACCAGACCCAGCCATCCATTCAGAAAACCATATCTACTCGAACCAACAAATCAAACTGCTCAAACTCCAACTTATCAACATCAGTTCAAAATACAGGGTTATACGGCGCCCAGCCGCAGACGACAATGTGCTGCTATTGAGCTTCTGACACACTACTACACATTCCAGGGTACACCATTTTTTTGTAGTGGACGCGCCAATAACCGAGGTGGCGGATGTCTCATATACGTCAAGAACGAGTTTCATGCAACATCTTTCCAAACCGTATCCCTTGGCAATTCTGAAGACTCAGTATGGATTCAGACCGCTGGAGGTCCACTGGACCTATTGATAGGCTGTTTATACAACCCACCGCACTCCTCTTGTGCTAGCGTTGACAAATGGTCAAGCTCTTCCAGGAAGTCTCATTCCTTCCTGCACGCCATAAAAGTATTGCTGGTGATTTTAATATGCCTCATGTCTCGTGGCTTAATCAATCAGCCCCTCTCAAATATAGAGCCCTGGTAGACACTATTTTCACACACGACTAGACGCAGCATGTGAACACACCGACGATCTAACACACTGGACCTAGTATTTACTAACGGCATTCCACACGCATGCGCCAGCGTGTTAGACAACATACCGGGCAGCGACCACAAGGTAGTGAAGCTGTCTTTTGCACTGCCCAAATTCCCTGAACAGGAAGACAACAAATATGAGGTTTCACGCCTCCTCCAGCGCATCAACTGGGAAACATTTTCGTCCCTCTTCCGTGCATCACCCTGGGACGATTTCTTTCTCTCAGCAAATAGATAAATATTTTATTCTCGACAAAGCGAGACACGCCTTTTGGGCATGATCAGCATATTGCATTATTGTACATGATAGCGGAATAAGCAGCACCAACAGTGGGAGTAGTACAGTTGGAAACAGTAGTGTGGGCCCATAGAGCCCAAATGTTGTATGTAGTCTACGTACACAGAATGCGAGAGGTAAAGATAGTAATCAGATCACTTATATGGTATGTTGATGAGGAACTAGTCCGATGAGGTCTCGTAAGCAATGTAAGTCAGTGAGTGAAGTATGAGGAAACGGGTGAAAAATACTTAAGAATAGTGATATGTCACTAATCAGATATGTAGGCGTGTTCGTGCGAGAGCCGATATATACACAGAACTTGTAAATATGGTGTCGGTCAACTTGCCAATGTTATGGGCGGTGACTTTATTGAGTGGCGAGTCACATCCGCCACGTCACAGTGTTGTTAAACAGACATTTGTGGCTTTTTGTAGGGAAAACGCTTGCCAGGCGAAGACCCACCACGTCCTGGAACACTGTCGGCATTGCGATCAGGGAGCTTTATAACAACCTCACGAACTGTCTAGATGTCCTTGCCCCCAAAAGAAGAAGCGAAAAAGGCGACAGACCCTTGATGATGCTCCCACACGCAAACTAGCTACTAAGCTTAAGAAAATGCGCTCCCGCTACAGCAAGGCTAAAGACTTTCATCTGATCCTCCGCACGAACGAATTACTAATCGCCTGGGGAAGTGCACAAAGCAATGCTCGTACATTAGCTGAGCACGCAGCGCTATGCACTGACAACAAGGCAAAGTCTCTTATTCGACTAATGAAGCAGCGAGGCAGCAGCAATATTCTCCGATCACTACCCTTCTGCCGAATGATAAAACTATAGTCACTGATGCGGTCGAGCTCTGCGACTGCATTAACACGTACTTCTGTAACTCGTTCACCAGCAAGGACTCGACATTGCCAACCACGATTCATAAGTACACTGAGATCAAATACATACTATTGACTTTGACTTAAACAACATCAAGCGAGCACTTTGCTCCTTGAAACTGTCTCACCACCCAAGCCCTGATGGTGTACCTTCTTCCGTATTAATACTCGGAGGACCGGATATTCCAGTCCTCCTCCTAAATATCTTCACCATCTCTATGAAGAGCGGACAATACCCGTCTATATGGAAACACGCAACCATCATACCACGACACAAACGAGGCTGCCGACAAAATATTGACAATTACCGTCCTATTAGCCACACACCCATTGCGTCTAGACTCATGGAAAGAATAATAAAGGACGGGATGCTTCGTTTTCTGCTACAACGCAACCTTATTAATAGGTCCCAACACGGGTTTCTGCCTGCTAAATCTTGTCAAACTTGCCAGTTTGAATTCTTAAACGACGTTACGCAGGTCTATGGACTGCGTAACGTCGTTTAAGAATTCAAACTGGCAAGTTTGACAAGATTTAGCAGGCAGAAACCCGTGTTGGGACCTATTAATAAGGTTGCGTTGTAGCAGAAAACGAAGCATCCCGTCCTTTATTATTCTTTTCATGAGTCTAGACGCAATGGGTGTGTGGCTAATAGGACAGTAATTGTCAATATTTTGTCGGCAGCCTCGTTTGTGTCGTGGCATGATGGTTGCGTGTTTCCATATAGACGGGTATTGTCCGCTCTTCATAGAGATGGTGAAGATATTTAGGAGGAGGACTGGAATATCCGGTCC